CCAGGCCTTGGAAGATATGCTTTCTTTCCTCCATGTGTAGAGAGCATCCAGAGTCCAGGTGTTAATACTGGAGTTTCAACCTTGCTGTTAAAGATACCTGCAACATAGATGATTTTGTCTTTTGGTACCCTTATCTTTCTGGGTCCATGACTGTTAGAGTTTCCAAAATTCTGTTTGAATTTTGGTTTAGTATAAAACGCCTTACCAACATGTTTTATATCATGTGTTTGTTCAGTGGTGAAGTGAGAATAGAGAAAAGTGCGTTTGATAACCAAATCCTTAACTTTCTTAGGTTGGGATTCTTTTCCTTTGTATCCTGTACCTATTCTGCAATTCTTGCTGACTCCATGGATCATTGAAGCCATTTTGCTTCTATCTATGTTGTTAGTCATAAACTTCTGAAAGCTTTGATCATATTCCTTTATGATCTTATCAGCATTAATGGGATCCTCTGAGATTATTTCCTTCTGAGAGTTTTGTAAATCATTTTCTAGTTTTGAAATATTTTCTTTTAACTCAGAGTTTTCTAATCTCATACTCTCAGTTTCTTCAGAGTTAGAAGCAATATCCTTTTTCAGGTTCTTGAATTTGACTCTGAGCTGCTGATATCATTCCAGAATCTTGCTCAGACTTTCTGCAAGATCAGTTTTAGACAAATTAATAGAAAATTTAGGGAATACCTCTTCAGTGTGTGATTCTGAGTCTGAACTAGAGGCTTCACTATCTTCTGATATGTTTGCCATGAGAGCTATGTTTTCTCTTTCATTATCTGACTCTGAGTCAGCTTCAGAGGTGTCTGAATCGTCCCATGTTGCCATGAGGCTTTTCTTCTTCTGCATGTGCTTCCATAGATGATTGACTCTTCTAGATAGAGAAGACAGTTCTTCTTCTGATGAGGATTCTCTTAAGTTTTCTGCTTCTGCTTCTGCCTGCAAAATTTTGGTTTTATATTTGTTAGATTTCAGAGCGAGAGACTTACATTGCTTCTGAGGCTCATCATCTTCGAGCTCTATCTCGTGACTTATGAGGGAGCTGATAAGTTCCTCCAGAGAGATATTGTTGAGATCCTTGGCTAGCTTCAGCACTGTGACCATTGGTCTCCATTGTTTTGGTAAACTTATGATGATCTTATTTACATGATCAGCAGTTGAATACCCTTTGTCCATCACCTTTAGCCCTACCACCAGAGTTTGGAATCTAGAGAACATTGTTTCAATGGTTTCGTCTTCTTCCATTCTGAAGACTTCGTACTTCTGAATGAGCACAAGAGCTTTAGTTTCTTTGACTTGAAGGTTGCCTTCACGCGTCATTCTCAGAGAGTCAAACATGTTCTTTGCAGTGTCTCTGTTTGTGATCTTCTCATACTCTGAATATGAGATGGCACTCAGAAGAATTGTTCTAGCCTTGTGATGATTTCTGAAATCACGCTTTTGTTGATCAGACATTGCTTTCCTGTCAATCTTCTGACCGCTTTCAGCAACAGGATGTATGTATCCATCAGTTACCACATCCCAGAGGTCAGCATCATAAGCTAGGAAGAAACTTCTGATCATATCCTTCCAGTAGTCAAAATTTTCACCATCAAATATTAGAGGACTAATGCTGATGTCCTGACTCGTTCCCACCATAGTGTTTTTCTTACGCTGGATCTTGTACTGACACGATTAAGTGTTATAAGCTCAGAACCAGGCGCTCTAATGCCAATTGAAGAAGTGAAAAACACAAGAAGGGGGGTTGAATTGTAAAACTGGTAATCAAATGCAGACAACACTGTATTTTTATCCTAGTTCGTTTGACCTCAAACTACTCCAGTCCACCCGCCAAGGTGATTTCGCCTCTCTCCAACGAGGACTTAATTCACTAATCAAACTTGATTACAATTCTACTTTAACAACTGTTAAAGTCTTCTTGAGTCCAAAACCACAACCCGGTTTTCTCAAGGAAATTCATTAAACAGATAATTGTATAAAAGTGTACAAAGATGTTTCTAAATAAACAGTATCACAAACTTGTGATGTATTACACAATTTAATATTGAATTGATAAAGATGAAGACTGTTTATAGCTTTACTGACTTTTCACGTTTTGTGTGTCGTTGTTCATCTTATTTGAAATCTTCTTCTAGTCTTCTTTAAATAGGCCTTGCAATAGTGACATAAGAAGATACATTTGGTATGTCCATAACACGCGTTAATGAGCTTTCCAAAATAGGAGATCCTTGTCTGTTTGTAGCCGTTACTTATGATCTTTCATTGATGGAGTTGTAACGCTTGAGAGACAGTATCAAATATTCTGTTTTGCAGCGCTGGTGCATTCAGAAGTTCAAACAGAACTTCTTCATATAAGCGTCTTATGCATATTTGATGCTGCTGAATCTTTCATAGTCCACTCAACTTCTGTGCTTGCATTATCAGAACTTCTGATGATGTTCTGGCAGATCTTCCAGTTGCATTAGAACATCTTTTTCGCATCAGAACTTCTGCATGTAAAGATACTTATTATTAGCAAGCATATTTGTTCTTTGTATCATGTGTTTGTTATCATCAAAACTCTTGCTGGGATATAGAACTAAATTATGTTCTAACAACCCAGGTCCTCATGCTCGCCCCTAGTGCCTGCTTGCCATCTGTGCTACGCGCTTTTGTTATTCACATAATAGAAGTAAAACAATATAATCAAAACAAATAATGTATTCAGAAAATGCGCGAAAATTCAAATGGATGAGTCACACGCTGCCATGCAAGCTTCTTCTTCCCCAGACTGTCGTTTTAGGCAACAAGACCTTTACCTACGGACATCTCGATGTAGCTACAAACCTGTGACATTCAAAAATCCTATACAAGCGTTATAAATGAAAGGTAAGGGTACCAATCAACTCGTCTCATCCTCACGAGCATCATGGTACCAGAATCCAGGCCTAATTTTGCATACTGAAAACCCCTAAAATGAGCAAAGGAACCCTAACAATGGCATTTCGTGATTCTTGTACTGTAAATGCAATTAAGTGGTACCAATAGCTTGCAAACTCAATGATGAACAAGAATGTATAATTAAAACATGCTCATGATGAGTAAAACAATGAAATCAAAATCAAGTTTTTAGGAAAACCGTGGTGCCTGTAGCTTACGATTTCGGGCGTGAAAATGCTTGCAATTGATTGAGATCCCTTCTGGAGATGTCCAGGAGTCTATTGGTAGCCTTAGAATGGCTTGAATCACTCTCTAAGTCCAAGAACGATCACCCACTTTCTTGCAAATTTTTTAGTTTTCTTTTGGTGTTTTCACGGCTGCCAACCTCCTTCTTTTGCTTTGTTCTTGTTCATTATATATCCCTCAATGAATTAGGGTTGCAAAACAGATTGAATCTTTAAGCTTTGATGATATTTGATTTGATTATTTAGCCATATGATATCTTTCTAAATTTAGCCTAATCATGCTCTTTTTGTACCAATTGCCATTGATTTGAATTGATCTTGCAAGCTCAGCATATCTTGGTTGCTAACCTGTCAAAAAAACAAATCAAATCATATCTTTGATAATTTTCACCATTTATTTGATTTAATTCACTTTTTAATTAATGAAAAATCAAAATAAATTTAAAAATGAAGCAAATAATTTGTGGGTAAGTATTTGAGTCGTGGACACATTATAATTGAAGTGCAAGCATAAAAAGTTGGGCTCATTAATTTAGCAACAAAAAAAATGCAAATTTGAGCACATTTGACTTTTGGCAATTTTGCAAAAATAGTCAACTTGGCCAATGCATAACTCTCTCAATTTTGACCCTAGAGAGGTTTTCTTGGACTTTTTAGAAATATTAGGATGTTCTCTAAGCAACCCTTTTGGTCTCATCTTAATTGAGTCTTCCATGTTCATGTATGAATATTTGACCCAAAAGGTGTTTTTGTTGACTTTTCAAAAGGACCTATAATGTCAAAATTCATATCTTCTTGTAAGAACATATTCTGAACTTGGGAGCTGAAGATGAATTGTAGGGAAATGCATCCTCTTCAAAATGAGCTTTTGATGGGTCATTTCTGATAAAGCATGAGAAAGTTATGCTTGGTCAAAGTTGAGTTGACTTTTCCTGCAAAACCCTAATTTAGGAGAGTTTGTCTAGTCAACTCTTGAACTTCCTTGAGAAATTTGGGGACCTCACTTGCCATGTGTTGAGAAATATGGGAGGGAATGTTTTGGGGTACAACACACACACAAGTAGCAAACATAATGCACACAATGCGGAATTGCCCTACACGGGTCTTTAAATAAACCAGAGGGGTTCCTGACATAATCAGCAATAGAGACCCCAATCATACATCTCTACCCTACTTCTCATGGCATCAGAAAGCAGTAAAATCCTACTTCTCATGATATCTAGAAAAGCGGTAAAGTTCGGAAATAAGGAATAAAAATTATGTTGCAATGATACCGAATGGAGAATGTTCGTTGCCTCTTCGAGACCATGCAAGCAATAAGAAAACTCTACTAAAATCTCCTTGAATTTCCTTGATAAAAATTATGCTCTTGGCTAGCTTTAGAGCTTCGTGAAATCTTCACCTAAATCTCTTTTATTTACCAATATCTCAAAAATTAAATGACCAAAATTAATCACGAGTGTAATTGAAACAAGTATTGAAAATAAGACTTCATGAGGTGCAAAGCTGAATTCAGGAGGTATAGTCCAGCAATCAGAAAACTGGGTGCTAAGCCCATTTTGTTTGATCCCTTGAGGCCAGGTGTGTGGTATCAAAGGCCCACACAAAACAGTCCAATAGCAGCTTTTTGCAAGGAGAATCAGCTGGTACAAAAATCATTTGTGGGCTCGTTGCAAGCATATTCAGTCCAATGGCACTTCTTCTAGCAAGGAAATTCCACCAAAAAATGCATACAGGCCCAAGGAGGTGTGGTCCGGCCCAGTAACCATGCTTCCTTATCAACCCAGATCCTTCTTTTCAACATAATTATATTTAATATATAAAACAAAAAAAGAAAAAATATATTATGAAAGGGATGGACATGGTGCGTTTCAGGGAGACAGCTAGGGTTCAATTGGTTGTGACTCTCCAGCTTCTTCGAACATCTTTCACTCTCTCTTCGAACGGTGCTCCGCTCCTTGTTTCGATTCACTGCCGTGGCGAATGGTTCGTCATTTTCATAAAGAGCTCATCCCGTTTTTATCTAAACCCTCGCCGTTGCGGCTATCACCCCTCTCTGATTGAAATCGTAATGTCTCCGTCCATCGTGATCGTCTGATTCGAGTCCGAGCTCTCATGGATTCTGCTCCATCCGTCTCGATTTCTCATTCATCTCATATTTCTTCCATCTTCACCTTCGTCTCAGTCGGTTTTTCTACTCTTATCAAATTCGATCATACCTTTGCAATCTTCATCTTCTTGCAGCTTCTGTGACGCAGTATTGTTACTGCGAGCGACGTGTTGCGTTGCAATGATGTTGATTGTTGTAGTTTCTTTCGTTATTGAACATGCGTGTGATGAACGATGAAGAAGATTGTAGAAGATGACGAGGAATTGTGGGAAACATTGATGTTGATTCTTGAAGGAGATTACAGAGAGAATGGTGTTAGTGATGAAGGTCAAGAAAGGTTGCAGGAATTAAGAGTTATGTGTTTTGCCGAAGATGAAAGTTATGTTGAAGATGCTGCTATGTAGTTTGTTGCATGAGCTCGAAGGCGCAAGATTGATGGTGTTGCAGAAGCTTGAAAGTGTAAGGTCGATGATGTTACAGAGTTGATAAAGGTTCTGATGTTAATGAAGACTGCAAAATATTGATGGAGATTAAAGTAAATCGGTTTAAGGAGGTGAAGATGGTGATGAGGAGTTCAGAGAGAGAGAATCCAGATTTCTTTTGGTGAGTTTTCTTTATGAATGATTGGTTATGGAGGGAGAGCGGAGAGGAGATGAAGATTCAATCTAAATGAAGGTGAGTTCTCTAACTGATTTTCTATTTTTGTTGGATTCTGTTGAGATGCGGTTAAGAGAGAGAAGAAAGTTGCAGGGAGAAAAATGGAGATTGAGAACGAAGGTTAAAGATGATGTGGAAGGTGGAAACTATAGAGAGAATCAGGTTGAAAGGTGAGAATCTAATCCTCTCCATTTTCTGTTGCTTTTCTATTATGAAAACCTTCTTCCTCTCTGTCTCTCCCTTTCTGTTATATCATTTGGTCGCTGAGTTAGTTAGAAAAGCGGTTAGGGAATTAGAGGTAGTTAGAAACTGTTAGAGATTGGTTACATGGTTAGTTGCGGTTGGCAGTAACAAAATGGTTAGAAGGAGTTGGGGAATTAGTTATGGCTCTGATGGAAATTTGTTACATGTCAGTTTTTTGGAGGAAGTTTATTCAATTGGAAAGTTGGTTACCGTTATGCGGTTTTCAGTCTTCTATTTGTAAAGTCAGTTAGTGTTTTAAGTTGCAGGAAGTTTGTTAAGATTCTGTTATTTTGTTAGGATAACTTGTATTGGTTGCAATTTTATCTTGGAAACAGGTTTTGGTATTGATCTAACATGTTGCAGCTTCAATTGTAAGTTGCAGGGCTGCATGTGTATGAACAATTTTTATGTTGTTGTCTGTGATGCAGGTCAGGTCATGAAGTTAACTGAAGGAATTTGTGTGCAAGGTGCTTGTAAGTGAAGAAGAGTTTGGAAGAATTGTAGGAACATGGATACAAATGGAGTTAAATCAATAAAGACTTAGAGGGATGTTGAAGGATAAGTTTTTTAGGTATTAGATCAAAATTTGTTCCATGTCAACAATGGAATTTTTTCTGTAATTTTCCAACGTAATGGTATTGAGGTAAATGGCCAATGTATGGAAATGCGGTGACTTTTATCCTTGCAATGAACAAATTATGAATAAAGTCAAATCATTTTTCTCCTAATCTTTTTGTAATAGTTTTTTTTTTGCACTTGCAACTTTGAATGAACTCCTGATTTTGGTGTTGACTTTGTCAACCAAGTAATATGGAATATAAGGTTTCCCTCCTTTTCAAATTTGAAATTCAACTTTTCTTCTTTAATGCCTTAATAATTCCACAAAATCCCATGTATGCTTCCAACAACCTTGATGAATTGAACCAAGTTTGAATTCATGGAATCATTTAAATCCACTTCAACCTTAATCCAATATTAACTTGCATGACAAGAAACAAACAATTCGAAAGAAGGACGCCTTGATTATAATTCGCATCTTATACCATGTTTCGATTGTACTAGCAATAACAATTTCTTGGATCCTTGAAGAAAATATTCAGGATGACTTTGACCTTAGCTCACATAGTCTTTACTTAAACCTTTAATGAAACCCTAATGATCATGCCCTTGATAAAGATGCCAACTTTGTAACTTAATAAGAGAAAGAAGTTCTCAATGATCAAGAATCCAGACCCTAGCTCAACAAACCACAGTTAATGAGAAACCAATTGATTCAAGCCTTAATGAAGATAAGAGTCTAAAAGCACATACAAAACCCTAACTTCTAGACCCTCGTTCTTATGCCAAATTATTGACTGATGATGCATGACGTGTTAGATGACCTAATGAAGGTTATGTACGTAAGAAAAATGCGAGATGCATAAGCCCGATAAAAGAAAAAAGGGTAGGACAAATTTGGGGTATTACACCCATATGAAATTGTCCTCTTTCTTCAGACAAAGTAGTAGAGAGAATGCTTGCATTTTCCCACATAGGTTGGATATAAACCTCCTTAGAAAGTTTATCTTTCCTAGAAATGGTTTAATTTTTTCTTTGTCGAACAAGGTTTAGTCTCTAGGATTTCCTTTATCTTATTCTGGTTGATTTTAATTTCCTTCTTCTGGGCCACTAAGCCAAGAAATTCCCCTGCATTAACCTAAAAAACACATTTTAAGAGATTCATTTTTAATCCATGTTTACTCATCCTTTCAAAGGATTTTCGAAGATGGTCTATGTGACCACCTTTCGAGGAGGATTACATAATTACATCATCTATGTACACTTGCATAAAGGTGTCGATATAGTCATGGAATATTATATTAGGTTCATTTCCCTTTGGTAAGTTGCACCAACATTTTTTAAACCAAAAGGTATTACGACCCATTCATAGGTTCCTAATGCTCCTGTACGTCGAAACTCCATTTTGGTATTCATTTTCTGCTATGAAGATTTGGTTTTACCCTGAGTAGCCATATAGCATACTCAAATAATTGAAGCCTGTAGCAGAGTCAACTAGCATTTCCTCAGTAGGCATTGGATACTAATTTTTGGGCATCACATTATTTAGATCTCGAAAATCTATGCACACCAAGAGAGACCCATCTTTCTTAATAACTTGTACAATGTTAGCTAACCATTCAATTTACTTGGCCATTTTGATGAAGTTACTTTGTAGGAGTCTTTCAATTTCCTCCTTGATTTTTGACATTATTTGTGATATAAATCTCACTCGCTGTTGTTTCATTGGTTTATTCCCTGTCGTATTTGAATCCTTAATTCCACCATCTTTCGACTTAAATTGGGTATTTCATTGTAATCCCATGCAAAACAATCTTTGAATTCTTTTAAAAGTTCAACCACTTATACCTTTAACTCTGGAGTAATGTTGCTACTCACATACGTTATCCTTCTTAGCATCCCTTACCCCAGATTAATCTCTTCAAGAGGGTCCTGTGCCTGAATTTTCTTTGCCGACGCCATCAAATATTTCTCAAAACCTAGAGGCTTGTCTTCGTATATCCAACTGAGCTTTTTGTTTGTCGAACATCAAGAGGCGTTGATTGTATTAGCCTCAGTTGCCAATTGATGTTGTAAATTAGACTCTTGGGCCATTTTCCTTTGATTATTAACTATGTAAGTTGTTTTTTAAGTGCATGCATTCAACTCGGCTATATTATTAGCCTCACTGACCATTTTGTTTTCTTTCTTTGGCTTCTTGAGCCAACTTTTTCTGAAATTTGGCCTCAACAATCGCATCCCTCAACCAAGTATTTAACCTAGACATTAAAAGTGTTTTCATCTCCCCAACCTGTGGGGGTCTATTTCGCCTTCCTGTAAGGGTTCTTCACCCCTGATCTTTCGATCCCATAGGAAACCATGAGTGGGATGAAGACTCACAGAGGTAAAAACAATCTCATGTTCTTTGAACCCTGAGTTTGTCGGTGGATATGGTACAATGTTCACTAGATTTTTGTCGAAAGTCTTCATGTTAACCTGGTTAACTTCTTCCAAGTAATAACTCTAATTTTCCTCCACGTTCTCAACTATTCCATCTTCCCTCCAGGTAGATATTCTCAGATGTAAGGGAAAAGGAATGGCCCTAATATCGTGGATCCATTCTCTCCCTAACAATAGGTTATAGTTATCTTTGTTTGGGATAACCATAAACAAGGTTGGTCGAACAGTGGTTCCCACGGCCAAATCTACTTGTATTTCCCATAGGGAGTGACCCATTCTACCCTCATAATTTCAGAGTACCATGTTGTGGGGCCTCAGATCAATATCAAACTTTTCTATTTTTCTTAAGTAAAGAGTATGGCATCAAATTCATTGTCGCGCCACCGTATACTAATACCTTTTTAACACCAATGTTGTCATCATCCCCATATCCGGATTTTTAAAAATAACATTTTGCTCCTCGACGCACCCGTCATTCATCACATAGAAGCACATAGGTTTGTGGCCATCCATATTTTCTGTCGGAAAGTCCTCATCGTCATCTTTTATCTCTGTAATGACGTCTTATTCAATGAGCAAGACATAAAACACATTGCAAACGGTGTCGACATCATCCTCCAGGTGTGAGGATTCATTTACAACCATCTCCTAATCCTCTTCATTAGGTTCATTTTCTTTAGGTTTTTCGACCCTAGGAGCATGGGCTAAGGCTAATCTCGTCTTCTCTGATGGTATGAATTATTTGACCCTTGGTACTATAGGTGGTGGAGTTGGAAAAAATCTCACTTTTGTCGGCCTCCTATTCACCTCTTTAGTTGGCTCTTTTTTTTCATGACCATTGGAACTTGCAATATCTCGATTTTCCTTTCAATGACGCTGATATCGCCCCCACTTGGTTCTGGTCATTGGGTTTTTTCCTTTGTAGTTAGGAATGTATTCATATTTTTTCAATATGTGGGAATTATTCTGCATGGCCGAACTTGAATTTAGTGTTGTCTTCTCTCGACCATTGAGATTGCTGTTTTCTTTCTGTCGCACCCATTCTCCTACATGTGCCTTTGATGATGGCTTGTAAGTTTTGGTTCGACCCCTTTTGTTCCTAGCAGTTGCATTGGGGACCCTGTAAGGAATTCCCCTTTTGTTAAAAGTATACCTTGGTCTATCTCTGGACCAATTTTTTTTTCTATCACGTTGGGGCTTGAACTTTTACGCCTCCTTAGTAGCCTTCTCGTCATACACTGAGTGGCACAGTGGGCATAACATGGGCTTTGATTCTTCCAGTTTACACCTTTAGAGGAAATCCACGAGATCCTCTCCTGCCTGTGCGTAAACCACCTTCACCTTTTCAGCATACTCAATTTTAGATACCTCCATCACTTTGTCAAAGCCTTTAATAGTTTCGACCATTAGGCAATCTATGGGCTTTGCATAGTTCGTGTCCTTGATTTGCAGTGGGTCAACATCCACCTGCATTTAATTTTGTTTTATCCCTCAACTTGAGCCTACCATCATTCAACGCATCTTGTAATAGATCCATGAAAATAACACATTGTAAAGTCTTATAACCCAAGAAATTATGAAATTTACAAAATCCTTTTTTTTTCGTTGCTCTAAATTTGGTGTTTTTACCCCCTTCGGGATAATAATATGGCCATCAGCAACCAATAGGTTGCAAAGTTTTATAGCACTTGGTCACGTCGAAAGTGTAGATTTTGGAAATGAATTTGTCATTCTTAGGTACGATTGTGTTCTTGCTATTGGATGGTTTCAATAATTTGGAAACATAGGGAGACCTGACTTTAGTTTTGCCATGTTTACGTCATTTTTATTGATTTCTTTGTACCCTGTGTCACATTGTTGATCTTCTTCATGTATATCCAGATAAGAGACATTTTCTTTCTTGTGAAATTTATTTGACATGGCCTTTTAAGACTTTAGACATTTGACTTATCGAAATTTATCTGCCAACTAATCCATGTCTCTCAAATATTAGGTGTCTAATTTCTTCCTAATTGAGTATTCTAGACCCCCAACCGCTAGTTCGACTAGCTCGTGTTCAGACACCTGAGTGAAACA